CTTTAGAAAAATCTATGAGTAAGGCCAGAACAAATAGCTCCTGAACGAGTCCTCGGCGTCATAACCCTTGATCATTCGAGTCAAAACGGAATGGTACGGGGGCATTGTTTGGCGTCCGGATCTTACGACAGTATCTCCTGACCAAAAGTAAGACTCCGACTCGACAATTCGGTTACGAAAGAACAAGAGTCATGCAAGCTTCGATCCAATACCATCGATTCGTAACCCCCCCTCCCTCATTATTCTCCCCAGGGTCAGGAGAAGCACGAGGCAGTCCCAGAGAAGAAGAAAAGAAAAATATAACTACAGTGAAACCTGTCAATAAGCATACTTGTAGTTTAGCATTTCCTCTCAATAAGCATGAAAATTTTGATCCACCAAGTTGGTAGGCAGGAAAATAGAGGTATATTAAGTATAAAGGGCATTAAGCATTAAGCATTAAGGTGTGAGATTGAGAATATGCTTAATTAAAGGAAATTTTGGGTCATGTGACAGTGCAGATCATGACCCGGAGAGAGCCACTTTTTGTACAGGCCACCTCCATTTTGTAAAATAAATGTGTAATGTAATGAAAACCACTATTAAAACTTATTGTTCATCATGTCTGAGGAGCTTGGATGTGCACAGAACCCAGACAGAACACTTAAGGATGCTAGTGAAATTGTTTTCACTTATTCTAGAGAAGCTTCCCCTGTCAATCTCTCAGCTCTGCTTCCAGATATCCATGCTTCCACTAGTATTCATCCACAAATGAGTACAGTCAATAATACATCTCTACCAAAGGATCCTGTACATGGTAAATGTTACAGTTCTCTACTCTTATACCTTCAGTTCTGAGGGTTCCACACCCTTCTGTACTAGAACTTGGGACTTCTGTCCCTCAGGGGTACTGTCTATGAACTATATGTGTGCTGACTCTTGCTACTACCCTTCCTTACTTCATCATTCCATTCCTTTGACCACCCCTTCATTCTTTGTTCATTCTATAGTCTCTTACCCTTTGTCCATCCCTTCATTCTTTGTACCTTTATCTTTGACATTCCTTTCTTTCATTCTTTATAGCTTATCATTCTTAAGTGGCTCATACTCTCTGAGTGCTCTTGTGTAGTTTAGTATATATAAGTGTACAAGATCAGACTAGTCCTGTAGTCTTGATCTTGTCTACTCTAGGTAGTCCTATACTCTTAGGCTCACTCTATATACTCTACTCTTGTCTCACTCTCTCTCTCTCCCTACCTGTTCCACAAGTTCCAACTATGTTCTAGTGCTTACATTCTGTATTTCTGTTGTGTAGGATAGTTGTAGCCTGGGTCCCCTTGCTGAGCCTTCAGGTTCCTTCTATACTGTTACTAACATCAGATCAAGACTACCTATTACCACCCTACAACTCTCCTACATTTTGAGCATCAGTACTTACTATTGTATCAATCTCTTTTCTTTGTCCTGACCCTTTTACATTTTTA